AGAGGCAGAGGAGAAGAAACCTCACGTAAAAAGCTGTGGATTGCAAAGCAGGTCCCTCCCAAGGCAGCAAACACACTCCAAATGCTCCGTGCTCACCAGGTCTCTGCCTTAGGGAAGGCAAAGATCTTTCCCAGGAGTCTGCCCTAAAAAAGGAGGGCTCAGAAGGTCCACAGTAGGGCTACTAGGAGGGGCCACAATGAGCCTACAGCAGACTCATACAACCACCCACGTGGGCTCCTTGCAAAACACAATCCATAAGGAATGACAGCCAATGCCTCTGGGAACAGCTCCCACCCACCTGAGCCGTGGTCACCACGTGCTCTCACAACAGCATCTGTGTTCCAACACACAGCTGAAGCCTGCAGGTCTCTAAGTCCCCTTTGCAGAAGCTCTGAGCAGCTGGAGAAATCCAGCAACGTGGCTTTCAATTGCCTCACTGATTTCTGCCCTCAAAGAAGCATTAAATTCAATTGCTCCACATGGGAAGAAATTCCAGCTTTAACAGAGGCCACAGTTTCACAGGGATGGTGTGTTAACCTGAAAGCTGCTGCTCACTGTCTCATAGAATTTCACAGAACGTTCTGAGCTGGAATTCTTCCAGCTGTGCCTGTGGACAGGCAGGCTGGGAAATGCAGGAGTTTCCCCAGCTCCCAGAACACAGCTACATGAGAGACCTCGCCAGCACTGATTTTTACCCCCCAGATCCACTCCCACCACGCTGTAGGACTCACTGCTGGATGTGCAGACAAAGGGGTTGTGCCTGGGGGTGGTGAAGGCTTCCAGAGAAAGCCAAATTCCCCTCTTGTGGCTGTGCAGGAGGTGCTTTCCTGGCCGCTTCCTGGAGGAACCACTGTGGCTGCCCAGCAGATGGCAACAGCCCTGCACAAGGCACGGCCCAGCACCACACACCCGCAGGATTTACAGCTCTAGATCTCAATAAAAGCCTTTTCTGACCTTGCTGGCCCAGAACGTGAGTTCCCATGGCTAAAAACCACTATTTTTGCTATTTATGGTGGTATTTATGGTGCTCCCAGGCAACCTTTGGGGAGCACAGCCTCGCATTGGTTCTGCCTCTCCTCCAGCCCACCTCAGGTTATACACCCCCCTGCCCATCCCAGCCTAATTCCAGCATTTTTGTGGCTTGTTTTCCTTTTTGGGAAAGTCAGCCTTCCCACTCTGCATTGCTCCAGCAGGCTCACCTGCCCCAGGAGCAGGGCAGAGGGGCACAGAGCACCCATCCAGGGTGAGGCACAGCAGGAATCACTGTACTGCTGGGTAGATGGTTGGGCTTGATGATCTTGAAGGTCTTTTCCAACCTTAATGATTCCACGACTCTATGATTCTAAGAAAGCCAACTCCAAATTCACCCTCATCTCCCACAGAGCACTGCAAACGAGTCCTGTACCCCAGCAGTGAGTCACAGGCTCCACAGGAGTGTGCAAGGGAGCCGAGGAGAACTCCCACCTTCCAGTTAGTCAGCAGCCCAGCCTGGGGGAGAACAGGGCTCAGGTGCCTGGATGGACGAACTCCAAGCCCCCTTCACATGGCTTTTCCAAGGCAAAAAGGCTGTCATTCCTTTTTGGTGATGTTTCCCAGCAGCAGCAAGAGCAGTGAGCTCATCATCCTGCAACCACCATGCTTCCAACTGGGATAGGGATGAACACACTGCTGGGGCTACAGGCAGGTAACCCCAGCCAGGTGATGCTCTCCCTGCTCCCAGTGGATGTACAGGGGATGAGGCTCCTCTTGCACGTGTGACAGCAGAGCTGCAGGAATTGTGATGAGCCTACTGCAAGCCCAGCTGGAGGCACAAGGAGCCACAGGGCTGCAGGAGCTGCTGTCTCAGTGGAGCCACGGACCAGAAATCCTCTTTGAAAACAGTCTGACAGACAGACCTGTCTGCTGGACAGACCTGGAACGGTGCAACAAGAGCCAGGAGCTCTGTGCCACATCCAGATCCACACCAGTGGCTGAACTGTGGGAGTATCCAACACTACAAAGGTCCCAAGTTCACACCTTGTCCCCTTCAAGAGGCTTTTACACCCTTACTGGAGGAAGCAAGTGTTGGTGGTTCTGTCCGTAGAGCAAACAACGGCTGAAAGACACCAATTCTGGGTTCTCAGGGTTTTCCATGGATGCTGAGCTGTCCCTGATGACAACCACCAGAAGAGGGAATGAGTCACCAAGAAGAGCAACCTTATTAACAAAGAGAGAGTGTTTTCATGGAAGCTGCTTGAAGTGCTTGTTTACACTTGTTTGAACAAACATTCGGGAGAAAAGCTCTCTGTCAAGACCCCAGCACTTGTAAGAGCCAAGAACTCCAGCCACTGGAATTTTGGGCTGTTTAAGAGGGACCACAGCCAATACTCAGACCCAGTAATCACAACTGCCCTCAGCCCCTCTCCTTCAGCTCACCTTTAAACTTCCTCTGATGTGACACGAGAGGAGAAAACTCAGCAGTGCTCCTTCCCCCCCATGGCCCGCAGCAAGAGGGGCTCACCCAGTGCCTGGAGACCCCCACCTGTGTTTTGGGGCTGGGAAAGAAGCTCATCTGTTGAACTGCCTGGTGGTCCCAGCAGCAGTGTCAGAGCTGAGCGTTTGCTGGGCAGCATCTTCCCAGGTCTGACACAGGGACACCTGAGAGCACAAACTGCTTTTTGGTGGGGCAGGAGGTCTCCTCGGAGGACAAGTGATGTCTTCACTTTGAAAGGTGCTTTTCCCCCCCTCATCTCTTCCAAGGTGAATCCAAGCAAGATGGAATATATATATACTGGGAAAGGTCGTTTATTCTGTTTTCTGCTTTGGTGATTTTCTGCTGCACCTAAGGAAGAAGGGCCTGCTGGAGCAGCCCTCCCTCTTCTCCCAGACCTCCAGTGAAAAACACTCCTTTGCTGCTCCCAGCAGGATGCTTTGTACAATGGCTTCTCGCATCCCCCCTTCCCTGAATCCCCTCCAGCTTTCCAAGGTACAGCACTGCAGGACATGTGGGAGAAAACGCACGTTGGGAGCTCAAGGCTCAGCTAAAGGAGAACAAAAACCCCCTCCGAGACTCCAATTTATTTTTACCCTCCCTGGGCTGAGCGGGTATTTCTCGACCATGTTCTCGTTTGCTGAGCCTCTACGAAATCCTCGCAGGCTGGAAATGATTTGGAATCACGTCTCCAAGACAACAAGGATAATTCTTCCCCGGCATAATAAACGTAGAGATCGACAGAGCTGTTCTTCAGATGAGTACCCTGAATTCAGTATAAGAATCCATTTAGATATTCTGGAAAAGGAGATTTCAGGACTCATCACCTTTTCCCTTTGGGTCACCTTGTCGTTTCAAGGAAAGGCTGGCCCAGCAGCAGAAGTATTTCATCCCAGCGGGGCACACGCCCGGCTTGTTGGTATTCTTGCCCAGAATAGCTTGCAGCACTGACAGAGCCCATCTGTGTTAAATTAGCCCTCAGAAAATATCCCTGCTCGGAATCTCAGGGAAGATGGTCCCTTGACGCAGGTCTGAGGAGCAAAAAGTGAAAGCCTTTGCCTGTCACAGCCTCCACACTGCTCAGTCCAGTGTTAAAAAGCACATTTGTGACCTTGTACCAGATAAAGAAAATGGAAACCCATCTCTCTGCCTGCCTTCCTGTCCCACTTCTCCCCAGCTATTACTGGGTTTTGTAACTATCTTTCAAAAAGGAAAAATAATCTAATATTCAACATTGCCCAGAGAAGCTGTGGCTGCCCCATCCCTGCAAGTGTCCAAGGCCAGGTTGGATGGGGCTTGGAGCCACCTGGGCTAGGGGAAGGTGTCCCTGCCCATGGCAGGGGGTGGGACTGGATGAGCTTTAAGTTCCAACCCAAACCATTCCATGATTTTATAACCAGCTGCCCAACATCCAGTTTATCATTAGGAAACTCCAAAGAAAAACTTGAGCCTTTTATCAAGAAATAATAAGGCCAAAATTATGTATTACAGATTATACAAACCAAAGATATATATATATAGAGAGAGAGAGAGAGAGAGAGAGAGAGAAATAGATAGATAGATATATTTGCATGCAAATACAGAGGAGGTTGGGAGTCCCTTTGCCAGAAACAATTTGTGTGATAAAAATCATATAAAATCATGGAATATCCAGAGTGGGAAGTGACCCACAAGGATCACTGAAGTCCAGCTCCTGCTCCTGAACAGGACAGCCCCAAATGCATCCAGGCTATCAAGACACAAGAGTCACAAATCTGAAGAGGGAGGTTTGGAAAAGTAAAAACAGAGGTAGGGATTCAGTCCCCACATGGGACAGGGAGCCCTTTGCTCCAAAGGCACCTGCACCTGCAGCACCTTCTGCTCCAGGTTGGAAGGCTTGGAGCAGTAATGGGGGAAGCCCACCAAGCCAAGGCCAAAAGCCCACAGACAACAGGTCCCTCCTTTCCAGCTGGAACAGCAGGCACGGGACATCACTGCAACATCTCCTGCACTAAAGAATACAGGAGGGAACCAAGGGATGGGGGCTTTACCTTTAACCAAAGGAAAACCTATCAGAGAAGCCTCCTTGTTCAAGCCCAAGAACTGAGAAAATCTAGATTATTGTCCTCTGCTCTACCTTTTACTGGCCAAGCAGCACTGAGTGCCAACACCCCACGGCCCTGACGTATCTCTCAGGCAGGCTCCTGGCTGCTACATCTCAAAACCAAGCTCAGAAACTCCAGCAGAAGACAAACCCAACAGCAGCAGGTCTCCTTTCTGTGTCAGTAGTGTCTCATTGCAGAAAGGGGCTCCCTTTTCATCCAGGGCTCTCTCTAAGCTTGGGGTTTTTTCCTTCAACACCAATTTTAACTTAAACAGCACCAAATGCTCGGTGCAAACTCTCTGGGCCAGTCACCCCCAGATGAAAGGATTTGTCTTTACATGTTAAGCATCCTTGTGCCCTGTCACAGCAAACACCCCTCTCCACAGCAAACCCTCCCTGCCCCAGCCCCACCCCGACACTCGCAGGAGGAACAGAGCTCATACTTGCCTCAAACGTGACAAAGTCATCAAACTCATCAGGACAGGCCGGGGTTTCCTCCTCGGGGGTATATCCCATATCATACAGCTGGCTGTCAGGATCTGCAGAGGGAAAGAAACACAGAGCTGGAATCACCAAGAGGAAATCTGCACCCTCAGGCCAAGGATGGCTTTGGGAGACACGAGAGCAGCGGGACAGGAACTTCCACCTGCACGCACCAGCTCCTTCAGCCTTCAGGAAGGACCTCTGCTTCCAGGCATTCCAACACCACCTTGGGTGGAAGGCCACGGGTTTGGCTTCTCCCTGGAATAAGCCCTATGAGGCCCCTTGCTGCTCCGAAGAGGCCGGCACCTGGATTCATCCCTACCCCTCCATGCTCTCCATTCCTTTTCCTGCCTTCTTCCCTATCTCCGTTTCCTGCATCCTCTTTTTCTTCTCCCAGAAGGCTCTAATCCTGCTGTGGGCAGGGAACACATGAGATGTATGTGTGACAGCCAAGTACCATGGGAACGGCGGGGAGAGCAGGCAGCTCCGGAGCCTCTCTCAGCTGCCGCTCCTCCCGTGGCCACACACATCAGGAGCATCCGCACAGGCCCACGGCAAAACAGGAGCTTTTCAAGGAGATATCTTTAAAATATATTCCTCCTCCCGCCCCCGAGCAGCATCTGCAGCAGAGCATCCGAGCCCTTCCAGCGGGGAAGGGAGCGCGAATTCCCCGCGCTCCCTCAAGCAACAGCTAATGCCCGATCCAGCACACGACCCAGATCCCAGCCTGGAAACACCAAGTCAGGCTCAGATGCTGCAGTCCCAAAATAAATAGCAGGCTCAAACCCACACGCCTCAGAGCTGTGATGGTTGCAGCAGTAGGTTTGTCTGCTGTCGATACACTCGGCTGGGCACAGGGAGTGTTCTGTCAGTGTTCCTTGGGAAGGTCGGCACACGGACGGATTTGGGGAGGGACAGGGGGCTGCTTTCTGTGCCCTTCAGGCTGCTGACTTCCCAGCAGGATGGCAGCCCAGCCAAGGCAAACAGCTCCCAGGCTCGAGTCCACCCCAAAGGGGCACACAAAGCACATGATGCTGCGGCTGCCCAGACGGGACTGTGCCAGCCTCCCCTGGAGGAGACATTCCCTACAGGGGCACAGACAGAGCTCCTGCTTCGGGTCCACCTCCTGGTATCAAGAAAGGACATTTTTCACTAAGGAATCATAGTAGTCATTTCATATATCTAATACAAAGTCAAGGGGTTAGGAGTTGTTCAAGGCACTGGGGGTATTCAGCCTGGAGAAAAGAAAAGGTTCCAGGGAGAACTTAAAACCCTTTCCAGTGCCTAAAGGGGCTCCAAGAGAGCTGGAGAGGGACTTGGGACAAGGGCCTGGAGGGACAGGACAAGGGGCAATGGCTTCCCACTGACAGAGGGCAGGGTTAGATGGGATACTGGGAAGGAATTGTTCCCTGTGAGGGTGGTGAGGCCCTGGCACAGGTTGCCCAGAGAAGCTGTGGCTGCCCCATCCCTGGAAGTGTCCAAGGCCAGGTTGGACAGGACTTGGAGCAACCTGGTCTAGTGGAAGGTGTCCCTGCCCATGGCAGGGGGTGGGACTGGATGAGCTTTAAGGTCCCTTCCAACCCACAAGCCAACCTGTGCTGGGATTCTCTGATTAGGGCACAGGACAGAGTTAAGGAGTCAGGCCCAAAGCAACCCCCCCTCCCACCCAAACACCCCAAACACCATCCCTGGTGCCTCTCAGCTGATCATTAAACACAGAGTCAGGGACCCAGGAGATACTGGAGTCACCAACCCCACGGGTTCCATCGGTGGGAGAAGCTGAAATGTGCACCAAGAAATGAGCCCCCTCCTAACCGGGGTCTGGGGCTCCCAGGGGGAGGCTGTAAATCAGGAATAAGCCAAACTGCTCTTCCAGCAGCCAGCACCCAGTGCTGTGCTCCACAGCAAGTGCAGGGTCAGGCCTGCAGCACATGGAAGGTGCTCTTGGTCACCATTTATGACAACAATATCTGCCGCTCTCCCACTGCTGGCACCATGGAAGTGGTGCTGGGGCTCCTGCTCCCCTCAACCAGACCAAGGCCATGACACACAAGGAAATGCTGCTGCCTGAGCACCCTGCTCAGGGCAAGGCCATCTCCTGTCCTAACCAATGGCGTTAGCACTGAAGGATCTTGGACTTGATGATCTTGGAGGTCTTTTCCAGCCTTAATGATTCCATGATCTGAAGATGGTATTGCCTCTCTTCTCAAATGTCCCCCTGTCCACACCTGCACAGCTCCACCATGAGTCTGAGCCTACCATCAGGAGTTTTCCCATCAGTTATCCTGGGATTTGGGCCTCCCTGCTGGCGCCAGGGAGGACCAAGGGGATGGGGACAGTGACCTGCTTGGTGCAAAGCTATGGGAGCACCTCGGTGGGTCGCACCAAGAGGAGCCTTTGCCCACATCTAGGGGCAAAACCAATTGGTGCTCCTGAAAGGCAACCCAAGTCACACCACCCAGACACATCTCCTGCCAACCCCCACACGCAGGCAGTGCCCACCTCCAGAGAGGAGGCTGTGATGTGCAAAGGAGCGTCCAAAGATCCGGATCAGCTCACTGGGATGCAGGCTGCAGGCACACTGCCCTGGTCCTGTGCCAGCCAGGGCTCTGCCCTGTGGCATGTCCCCCCAGCAGGAGCTCTGGGGACAGCTCTGCTCCCCACGGCCCCCAGGCACACCCTGGCACAGCCCAAATCCTTTATCTGTAGCACACCCCAGACCTGAGCTGACAGTGGCACAGCTCCATCCACACAGCTGGGAGCCCGATCTCACACCTCTGCCAGGCATGGATGGGCAACCCAGCCAGCCTTCCCAGTGCCCACCCTGCCAGGCCACCTCCAGTGATCCTGGTGGCACCCCATGGCAGCCCTGGGAACCACAGAGCACCCCAAAGGCACAGGCTGATCCCTTCTGCTTATTCTGTATCATTTCTTTTCCTCCCCCTCCAAGCAGACACACAAACACTTCCTACTCTTCCACAGACACAGATAGAGATATTTATTCCTCTCCTTCCTTCCAAAGGGGCTTGAAAAGGGAGGATTTTCAGTCAAGCAAAAGCTTCCCTTCAGAATTAGAGGTATAAAACATGGGCAGAGCACACAAAGAGCTCCTGCCATCACCTGCTTCCTGCCCAGCTCTTGCTTAAACTGAGGGATCCTGGAGCCTTCCCAGCCCTTCGTGGGAATCAACATGATGGGGATGAACAAGAGCCTGGTTGCTCCATCTGTGTGCAGAGCATTCAACCCAAAGAGGGAGGGGTCTCTGTGTGGGCTGGGTCTATTTTTGCAGCAAATTCCACTGTAAAATCAAGGAAAGACCATCTCAGGGGTCACCTGCACCCTCACTGGTGGCATGGCCAGCAGAAGCCATGCCCAGGAACCAGCACTCAAGTGTTTCCACCTCCCCACGCTCCACGTCAGAGAGCAAAGACAAACATCACCACAAACAAAAGGTTGACTTTTCTGCTGGATTCGTTCCCTCCCCCTCTGAAAAAGCCATATGGTGCTTTGTGTATAGGGAGAGTTGCCATGGAGAGCCTGCCTGCGAGTCTGCCAGCACAATAGGCTGCATTAAGCTTTCAAATTCCTGGCCAAAAGAGCCAAAAAGTTCCTGGAGCCAAAAAATCTGAGACCTCTGGTGCTCAAGTGGCACTTCCCATGTGAAGAGCACTGTCCCCAGGTGCATGTGGTGAAAGCTGGAGGGTCTCACTGTTGTTTTCTTCCCCCCACCCCACTAACAGAGCAGGGGATGGCTGTGGACCACCAGCAGCAGCACTGCACAGCCCAACTCCCATGGCACAGGGTGAGCTCAAATCCTCACACTCCCTCTGCTCTGCCCCTTGGACCTCAAAGCCAAATCCCAGCTGACATTCTGCTCCCCTTCTCCATGCTCCTCACAACACAAAGCATCCTCCCCTCACACTCATCCCTGATTTACAGTTGGGTTGGAACAGCCCTCAAAGATCGAGTCCAACCATTCCCCAAGGCCACCACTAACCCACATCCCCAAGTGCCACATCCACATGGCTTTTAAATCCCTCCAGGAATGGGGACTCCACCACTGCCCTGGGCAGCTGTGCCAGGGCCTGACCACCCTGTCAGGGAAGAAATTTCCCCAATATCCAATCTAAACCTCCCCTGGCACAACTTGAGGCTGTTTCCTCTTGTCCTGTCCCTTGTTCCCTGGGAGCAGAGCCTGACCCCCACCTGGGGAGACCTTCTCACTCTCTTCAGCTCCCTGACAGGAGGGTGGAGCCAGGTGGGGGTCGAGCTCTGCTCCCAAAAAACAAGTGACAGGACATGGGAAAAGGGCCTCAAATTGTGCCAGGGAAGGTTTAGGGTTAGATTAAGGTTGGATATTGGGAAAATTTCTTCCCTGAAAGCATTGTCCAGCCCTGGCACAGCTGCCCAGGTGGAATCCCCATCCCTGGAGGGATTTAAGAGCTGTGTGGATGTGGCACTTGGGGACATGGGTTAGTGGTGGCTTAGCAGTGCTGGGAGAATGGTTGGACTTGATCTTAGAGGGCTTTTCCAATCTTAATGACTCCACGATTCTGTGATTCCATGATCTCCATCTGAACACATCTGCCACTGCTGGACCATTGCCTCTCATCTCTTACACCAACTGCAAGCCAAAGGCAACCTCTGCCCAGTATCCACAAAGCCTCCAGAGCCACTGGCCAGCTCTGAGGAGCAGCAGTGCCCACAGCAGGGACACATCCAGCTGCATGGACATCTCTCCAGGATGTATGGAGAGCAATAGGACAGGTCCTGGGCTCCCTGTGGGGGTGGATGAGTGCTCAGCTCTGGCAGAGAGACCTCTTCAACGTCCTGTCGAGCTCCAGAGGGCTCAGGGGGGCTGGAGCCACCTGTGCTCTCCAAGAAACCCTCAGGAACAGCAGCCCTCAGATACAACAGGCACCTGAAACAGATTGTAAAAACTGCCTTCAGAAGGCAGGGTTGCAGCAAAAAGGCACCTTGAGTGAAGAAGAGCTGTAGGTACAGTAGTGACACACGGGTCAGACAGAGCCAGTTTTATCAGCTTCATATAGGAATG